GAATATAATTTTTATGTACACGAAAACAAGTAACGTAAAAAGTTGTATAATTAATTGTTGTACATTTTATGTAAGTCACTTTAAATATATTGACTATAATAAAGACAAATTTTGAAACAACAAAATTTGTTATTTAATATTAAATGTTCTGTGATCACTTCAATAGAATGTTACCCAAAGGTATAACTGTTGGGGACTTGTTTGGTTGAAGTGAAAGGAGAAACACGTAATTTCTGTGCTGCGTGAGTTAAACAAGTTCAAAGTTACTTAAACCGTACTTTTAATACTAAAATTCTAAAGCTGTAAAGAAATGCTAGTGCAGGGTCCATGGTGAAATGCTCAGGTGGATAATCAGTGATCTAATAAAAGAATAATTAGCGTTTAATGTACGTGGTAATATAAATTGAATCGATTTACCTGAATACGTTAGCTTTTGTGGATAAGATAAGCGCTCGTAAATATCAATTCATATACAAATAAATAAATAATATTTAAAGTTGCAGTTTTGTAAATAATTGCAAATAACAATGGGAAGCGATCCTAGTGAATTAGTTAAATTGTTTGAAGGTTTTAAATTGGAGATGAGAAAAACGATTAGAGATGAAATTGGTAAGCTCAACATACCGGCTTTATTAGCAGAGCAGAAACAAAAGTACGAGGAATTAAAAAGTGATAACAAGGAATTGCAAGAAACCATCCAAAAGCAAAAAAGAATCATTGAAAATCTAAGAAGGGACAACAATTTAGTTTTTTTCGGAATTCGAGATAGCGGCGCCGAAAATATAGAAGCTTTGGAAAATACCATTCAAGACCTATGTAACAATGTAGTGGAGGTTACAACAACGTCCGATAATATTAACTACGTTCGACGTTTAGGGAGAAATGAGAACAGAAATCGGCCGGTGGTTGTGTCATTCGTTTCCAATATCCATAAGAGAAAAGTTTTAAGGAACGCAAAGAAGTTGAAAGGTAGTACGATATACGTCACGGAAGATCTAGACGAAGAACAGCGTAAACGCAAAAAGAAAATGATCCAAATTAGAAATTATCATAGAGAATCGGGTCAGGCTTGTCAACTAAGGAAGAATGGATTATTGATTAACGGAAGATTCATCCATTGCCAAGAGCTACAGGGAGATCAAACGGCGCCATGCATCGAACCAACTCTTGAAAAGGATTACAGAGAAACATCCATAAGGAAAGAAGCCAAAAGTACGAAGAAACGGAAGATCAACAAAGAACCACCGTTGCTTACTCAACCACAGATGCGCGAGTCCCGAAGCCACTCCGAATCTACACCTTCAACCTCCAGCAGAAAAATTCAAGAGTGATCCAATAGAAATAGGTATTTCAACGGAATAAACATTTTGGTGTATAATGTTGCGGGACTAAAGAGTAAGTTGCATAATTTTGTTTTTGAGTTTATAGATTTTTTAAGACAATTCGAAATATTTCTGTTATTTGTGTGGAGGAATGCAATTTTATGACAGTGAAATATATTAAAGGAGTTATAATTTTTAAATAATAGATATTTGTTGCATAAAATATTTGAATGGTCAAGAATACTTATTAGTGAATTTTTGTCAGCTGAGAAATATAGATTTTCATAGATCTATTAATTAGTAATTTAGTAAATATGTTTTTTTTTCAACAAGTCTTTCAGACGGCCAGTATGACCATGAATACGTCCACTAAGATTATATTTATTTAATGCATCACATTGTAGTTTATTTGAATAAAGACTGTTATTATTATTATTATTATTATTATTATTATTATAACTGTTGGCCATTTGAAATACAATTTGACAACTTTAAAAGTTATTGCAATAGAATCGTATCATTATTTTGAAAGTAAATATTCATTCAATAAATTAGCAAAACCAGTATAACCCGTTTACAGTTTACATAAAAAATTGATTTAAATAGTAATAGGCATCTATATTTAATTTAAAACAATGATTCATACACCTAAAGGCAGCAGTTTAGCAACATACACCGACTTAAAATAAAAACTGTATAAGTCAACTCTAGAAAAGTTAAACTATACACGACAACACTATACAAGTTGAATATTGATAACACTTAAAGAACTTAAGTAGGTGCATTTCATGATTGTTATTTAAATAGCAAGATTTTATGAGAGCGCTTTCGTAATACATTTTTAAAGATCTGTTTTTTTAAATTAAATTATGCTAGTAAGAGCAACACTTTAAAATATTAAAATACAAGATTTGAAGTGCAACTTTTCTAAACTCTCACATATTTTACTTTAAAAAATTAAAGTCGAAAACTTTTGGAATCTCATAAATATAACACTCCAGAAAGTTGACATTATATAAATTGATATTTGTGATTTTTTAAATTACATATATTTAAGTTACGACAAATGCATTTTCGTAAAATTAGCAATAAGTATTATTTTGTACATAATATGACATTTCGTTACTTTAAATCACAAATTATTCAAAGTTATAACATATTTAAGTAAAGTAAGGTAACGCCGTAAATGAGAATAGTAATTATATATCGTTTAAAGAATTGAAGTTGACAATATTGCCAATTCAAGTTGTAAGTGTTCAAAATTTGAGAGTGTTATATTTTAAACTTTCATTTTTATGAGAGTTGATAATTACGGATTTTATACCAAAACGGCGGTTCGGAGCGCCATCTCTCATTATTCCGTCAAAACTCAACAGCGAAGCGCGCTCGAAATAGTCGGCGTCGTATAAAATGTGAATATGAAATGTGGGTTGCAGAACGTTTACCGTCTGGCTCGGCATCTGTACTTTAATTCGTATTTGGCGCGCTTACCGTTTTGACTTGTCAAGCCTGCGATGCGCATTAGATTCTTCATTTGTTTATGTTTGCGATTTGCGATTGTTATTGTTAATTAATGGGTACGTGTTCTTTATTATTGAAAGGTAAGTAAATTCGCATATTATTATTTGCAAGTATTTAGATAGTTGTTGCTTTCTGGTTTACATACCTGTACAGTGTATATGTTACCTAATAGCACGTGTAGGTAGTACATAGGTAGGTATAAACATGGAGAGCCACAGCCTAAAAGTCTCTGAATTTACCAAGGCTAGTTTATGTATAGTGCAGTACAGTGGTTGTGGACAACAACATACTGCGGTCAGTCAAGCAAAATTGAGAACATGTGCTTCTAGTACGCTGCCGAAGATGTCGTAGCTGTCCAGGTAATTAAATTAATTCACGAAGGCTGGCAATTGTAATACACGTAGTACATTGTATACTTATGGCAGTCACCTAATTGTGAACTCGAAGCTGGTCAGTTGGTCGCAATGTATGTAAATACAAGGCATACATAGGTACTGTGCAAGTCAAGTACTACCGAGGGTACTACACCTCAAAACTTTTTTCGATGGTGTTAAATATTATGGGAAACCGACAGTCAGTTAGCAAAAAAGAAAAATCTTATGGCCCATACAACCCTCTTATCATTTAACACCAGCTTTGTTTGGTATCAATATTAGTGTAGTTGAGTGTAAGGTTTGGCAAACACGACAGAGTTGTTGAGGGTAATTAGTGCATCCTGCGTTTACCAAACGAGCTAGTGTAAGTTGGGCGCACTGTAACCCAACTTAACCTTATTTTGGTTTTGATAACCTCAAAAATGAATCCAAAAGAAGCAGTTTTTAGATATACTCTAATGGAGCTATTAGAAGATGAAGATTCGACTGCCAGCTCTGATTCCGAAGATAGTATAGAGGAAAATGTTTTACAAGCATGTATGAGTAGTTGTATAAAAGGCAGTCGTAACTGTATTAAGCTTTTTTTTGAGAATACCGTTCCAACCTATTCTTTTGAGGAATTTAAAATGCATTTTCGTATAACAAGACCACTGTTTAATAGTTTGGCCATCAAGTTTAGAGACAGCAGTGAATACAAAAGCATAGAAAGACATTACAATACTGTTTCTTATGAAAAACAGGTTGGGTTATTTTTATGGTTTGCAGGACATGAGGCTTGTGCATACAGAGATTTGGCTGACCGATTTGATCTTTCATTATGGACAGTACACACTATAATTTATAGAGTGTCCAGATTCTTAAGTAACATGTCAGTAAATGTTATAAAATGGCCTTCTCTACAACAAAGGCTTGAAAGCGAACAAAAGTTTTCATCCAAATACAATTTTCCCGGAGTAATAGGATCAATCGATGGCACCCATGTCATTATTGATCCTCCCAATGACAATAAGGATAATTACATTGACCGTAAAGGCAATGTTAGTATATGTGTACAAGGTATTTGCAATGAACGCAAAAAAATAATAGACATTTTTATTGGTTTTCCTGGCTCTACTCATGATAGTAGAGTATTAAAAAACTCTCCAATTTTCTCTGAGCTTCCTACACTTATAGAACAAGGTAGGTAGGTGTGTTAAAAAACAAGCATTTATATCAATAATTTTTAGGACACTACTTACTTGGTGACTCAGCTTATCCTTGCCTTCCATACCTTATAGTACCTTACAGGGATAACGGACATCTCACTCAATCCCAAAAATATTTCAATAAAAGATTAAGCCAAATTAGAGTACAAATTGAACATACTTTTGGGTTATTAAAACAACGGTTTAGGCAATTATATTATTGCAAACTAAAAAATATTGAAATATTATGTCACTTTATTAGGGCATGCTGTGTATTACACAATTTAGCAGATCAAACAGATTTAGATTGTTTTGAAGAAGCAAAATTGGAGGAAAATATTCAAACAGTGTACGAAGGGCGTGAGGAAAGTGGAAAACTTCTACGCGATGAAATATGTAATAAAATATTTAGAAATAAGAACTAAGTTTAATAACTGTATTATAAGTATAAGTAACGTAAAATTTATCAAAACTTATTCATTATTATTATCAGATTGTTCACTTTGTAACGTATTTATTAGTTTTTCTAATAAATCATTTTTTCTTTGTATTTGAGCAGTACGTTTTTCATATGCTTGCAATTTTTCATTATGTTGTATTTGCCTGGCATGTCTTAATTCTCGTAGCTCTCCTGCAACTCCTTTTGCTTTTTTTTTTGGTGTTCTGTTGTATTTTGGCTACTCTCAGCAAAAGGCTCATCTGCATGAGAAGATGTGGAAGTTTCACTCTTACGACATTGTACATTTTCTGTAGGTTGCGAATTTATCTTCGGAACTTCCACTGTGATATCCGCGTCTTTTATAATGTCGCTTTTGTTTTTTCCATTTCCATCCCGGTCCAATGTAAAATCAGGAAAAACGTTCGATTTTTTGGCAAAACATTCTGTTAACTCCCTGAAAACCACCATTACCCAAACTAAATAAGTTGTAACTGAATACAAACCTTTCATATGGACAGCTTGCTCTAGCCCGTCCAGTTTTATTATTATTTTCAGTCTTCTTTTTAAAAGACCTCTCTAACGTTTTCCACCGATTTTCAATTTGGGCAGCAGTAAAGGTATAATTTTGTTTTTCCATATCATCTTTAATGGCTTCCCACATTTTTTTTTTATTTTTTAATTTAACTACTTTCCCAACTTTTGGGCTGTAGTTATTATACAGCTCAATTAAGAGCTTTGTAGGAGCTTCTGTCCAACTCTGTATCGCTAGTGCTCCATCTTCTAAAAAACAACAATTTATTATACGATTATAACAAAAAATCACCGATATTGAAAACATAAAGAGCAAAAAAAGAAGCAAGTAACACATCAATATGTAATTATACCTAGTTACCTAAAGCAATGTTGTTATCATCATTTACTGACATGCTAGAAGATTCTCCAGCGTCTCTTTCTAATAAAATTTTCACACTAAAAATATTACACAAGAACATTTTATTACAAATGTTACCTTGTATACTCACTCACTGTTACCTTCCAAACGACAAATTGAAACAAGTTCACCATCTAAATCGTATATACCATTTTGTATCGCATCCTGAATATATGAAACTGCGAAATCGTCTTCATCTATAACATACAAACAAATTTTATGATTGGTAATTAAGAATTACTGTCTAGTTACCTATCAATCGATACCGGATTTCAGGATTTTTATCAGAAATCAAAACTTCTTCTCCATTTATATAAAATATAACATGTTTCGGTACTTGGTTTGCACTACACATTTTAATTTATTACAAAACAGCTTTCATAAAAGGAAATATATGCAAATCATCCGTCCAAAACATATAATCAAACGTGAAAAGTGAAAACACAAGAAACTGTAACAAATTAAGGTTAGAATAATACGTTTTCCCGCCACTCTGCACTACCTACACCTCCTTTTGACCAGGCGCAACAATTGCTGTTCAGTGTACACAGAATTGGTATAACAAACAGTATACACTAGTTGCACCGCGTACACTAATTTTATAACAAACGCCTTTTTACTGTTCTAGTTACACTAGTGCAGGATACCAAACAAAGCTACCATCAAAAAAATTTTGGAGTGCAGTTGGTACATGAATTGCACAGTAGGTACCTACCGAGCTACCCACATATATACAGGGTGATTCCTATAGTACCTGCCACCGTTTGGGAGCGTGTAGGTGGTGCGTAGGGGAGTATTTTGATATAGGACACTTGGGGTCGGAAAATCTAAAATAAGGGTGCCAGAGCCAAATTTACCTTCTGGAATTTCGCGCCTGTAGGTAGGCAACACAACCGGCCGGCGGTGCACACGGAGCGATCTCAGGCGGCGATGTGTGGCTGACACTTGATCAGAATTTTGTTTAAACCCACGAAATCCCGTCTGCAACGACGCGTATCAAGTGAATAAACACTATGGCACGTTTTACTAACACGGAATATGCGGACATGCACTTCATGTACGGATTGGCAAATGGTAACGCACGAGCTGCACGACGAGCATACGCTGAGCGGTATCCAAACCGTCAGTTACCCTGCAGACAGGTCTTTCAAGAAGTTCACTTCCGACTGTGCGAGACAGGGCAATTGCAGGTAAGCTGACGGGAGGCTTAACTTTACACACAGATTCGTGATGCACATCGATACTTGGGTCATTTAAGCACCCATTTCGAAAAGTTTGTTTGTTTACACCGCCCTCCTCCTATTTCGCAGCCCACTAGCGCCCGTGATCGCGATCGCCCGTTGGTAAATGCCTTAGAGGAGGATGTGTTGGAACGTTTCGAGGCAAACCCGCGTACTAGCACTCGATTTGTAGCAGATCAAGTGGGTTGTAGTCAACACACAGTGTGGAACATCGCCAACAACAACAACTTACACCCCTATAAGTTTAAGAAAGTGCAAGAGTTACGGCCGGGTGACCATTAGTCGTCCAGGAGGAAGAAGCTAATCCGAACTTTCTGAGGAGCGTGCTAGTTACTGACGAGAAAGGATTCTCAAGAGAGGGGACCTTCAATCCTCGTAACAGCCACTACTGGCCGGAGCACAATCCTCATGAAACGTTTACGCGAGGATACCAGGACAAGTTTTCTTTAAACGTTTGGGCTGGCATCCTGGGGGACAACCTACTGGGGCCTTACATCCTCCCCCCGCGTCTAAATGCCCATAATTACCTGATTTTCCTGCGCGAGGTGCTACCAGAACTTTTAATGGATGTTCCAGTGAACTTGTACTGGGACCACTGGTTCCAGCACGATGGGTGCCCTGCTCACTACGGGCGGCAGGTGAGGGAACACTTGGACCAAACCTATCCGGACAGATGGATCGGCCGTGGAGGTGCGGTGGAGTGGCCTGCCCGCTCGCGTATTGGCATTCTATACTATTATTCAGAGCAGCTCTGGTCTGATTCGCAGTATACTATGGCTTCACGTTATGCGCAATTTGATAATACATTATATACTGCGATTCAGAGCGCCGATATGGTTTAGTGCTCGGTGTCGTGTTTGTTTTATTACTAAAATCAGCTAAGCACTTGTCGCACCAAACACTGTTAATATCTTCACCCGTTTTTTTAAATTTCGCTTTAAATCCATGTTCTACTAGTTCCAAATATACGATCATTGAAAACTTATTCTCGTGGCACATTTCAACCAATGCCTCTTTATAGATTATTTTAGTGCAGTTTGAGAACCTTGATTACACACAAACAACAAAAAATATACTTTTTTCTTGCAAAGGGAACAATAAAAACACACTTTTTGTAAGTGTATGATGTGTTTTATAGAAACCCATTATATACAGTGTTTCAGAACTCTAAACCATATCGGTGCTCTGAATCGCAGTATATAATGTATTATCAAATTGCGCATAATGTGAAGCCATAGTATACTGCGAATCAGGCCAGAGCTGCTCTGAATAATAGTACAGAATGCCAATACGCTGCCCGCTCGCCCGACATCACCCCATTAGATTTTTACTTGTGGGGTGTGATGGAAGCGCACGTCTACGAGACTCCCGTCGAATCCGAAGAGGACTTAATTGCGCGCGTCGTCATGGCCGGAGAGGCTGTTCGCCAGGACATAGGAGTCTTCACGCGAGTTCGAGGGGGAGTGGTTGGCTAGATGTAGGAAGTGCATTGAGAACAACGGTGGCCACGTTGAACACTTGTAAACGTTATTGCTTTTGACTGTCGTTTTCCCTCCTCCCTCCCATGTCGCTTCCTCGCGCTAACTCGCTCTGCATCGCTCCGCGCGAAACGTCGGTCGGTTGGGTTGCCTACATACAGGCGTGAAATTCCAGAAGGTAAATTTGGCTCTGGCACCCTTATTTTAGATTTCCGACCCCAAGTGTCCTATATCAAAATACTCCCCTACGCACTACCTACACGCTCCCAAACGGTGGCAGGTACTATAGGAATCACCCTATATGTCTTGTATTTACCATTATAACAAATGCGGTAAATGCTCTTCACTCATCCAGTGAAGATGACGATTTTGAGAGACTCGTTCAGACAACTAGACGATCCTTTAGACGGCAAAACAACAAACGGAGACCAAAGAAACCATGGAAAAAAAAGATGGTATTATTAAGACGTTCCAATGCAGATTTCTTTCCCGCAGTTGCCGAAATTGCTTATTTAAATGCTATCGGTTATGGTAAGAATAATTATTTACTACGAACGTAAATATATTGAGGTATTGAGTTTTAGCTCAAGATGTTTATTTTAGTTAAACGTACCGTAATTAATTTATCGTTGCGAATATTCACCTTCACATACATCAAAACGAAAAAGTTTTGGAACTCGGTTTCTTTACAAATTTCAAAATGAACATTAATTAAATTCACAAAAATCACATTCACGAAAATGTATGTTCTCGTAAAGTTCTTCATAATATGTGGGAAATATTGGCTTAAATTTCGAATGTGGAAATATTCGTTTTTAGCAATGCGAATATTCCTGCGTATTTCCAGAAAAATTACAAAATTCGCAGAAAATATTCCTACAACACTAGTTAAAACGTGTGTCACATGATTATCAGGAATTCTACTATTCCATTATAAACAGTTACATATTCAAACCATGTTTACTTTTAGATATGACCTTCAAACTTTTTTCTAACACTAATACCATTTACATAATAAAAATCAAGTCTTGCCCTTCAAAGGTAAAGATTGCAAACATATTTTTTATTATACTTCATTGAAATCGCCTTATTTACTTCAGTATTAGAAATAATGGAAATTGACCTTTGCCGTGCGAGCGCACGGAAAAAGTTTTCCCGATCCCTTCGATTCTTTCCGTGCGCTAAATAAAAACACCCAATACATTTAAAATAGACAAAATAAACTCATTTTCAGAAAGTTTATATGCTATATAATTTACAAAATGCACCTATGTTGTATTTTAATTCGTCAATGATTGAATATTTAGATAAACTTCTTTCACATTTTGTAATATTTTTTGTCGTTTTGTAAACTTTATCTTAAATAAAATAATTAAACACATCGTTTCAAAGAAGTATAATAAAAATATCGTTAATTACACGTCCTGAAATGCTTTTTCCGTACTTGCACGGCTTTCCGCGCACGGAAAAAGTTTGTTTCCGGGACTCGTAATAAACTATAACTTGATAGATCGTAATGCTTTGTTATTACCAAGGTTTTACTTAAGTAGCCCACGGTATTAAAAATGTAATCGTGCATTTGATTTAATTTCATTCCCTTCATTTTAAAATTATATTGGAAATGTGTACATAAAGGTTTTTAAAACATTTGTAACGGCCTTATACCATTGAATATATTCATCTTGTCCACTACAAATGAATGTGATTTGTGTTGGGTTTATTTACTTATTATTTTAGCATAAAATACCACTAATTGAACCCATAATAAAGATTCCTTCCCCAACAAGTCTGCAAAGTAACGCAATTTTTAGGTGCGCCAAAGGAAGACGTTGCAATTGGAGTACACTGAACTGGAGGAATATATATACACACTTTATCCAGATGCTCCCTTCGGTTAACGGGCATAAAATTGGCGTCCTGTGACAGACAAAGGAAAATTGGAATAATCGATGTTACCACGTTAGAGCGTGTTGAAGATCTCAAACAGGTCTGTGGTCAGGGAAACTTAATAATTGTGCCGAACCGAGACTTGCCAGACACCACAATGCCGAATAATGGACAATCAATGCGCCATCACAATTTAGAGTTATGCTTTGTGTTTTTCATTTGATAGTATTTTTATGTGTTTCATAGTTAATATTGTTTTGAAAACTCCTATCTTTCAAGGGGGCCGGCATGTTAGGTATAAGTCACCAGTAACTCGAAAACAGGTGAGAAAATGAACGGTAGTTCCAGGGTTGACTGTAGGACGCTACCTGCGCGTAGCATTAAGCTTTTACTCTTCGTAAGAAGAGGTTGTGAAACTGCGTATTTACATTTATACAAATACAGTCCATTTCAATCATGCTTTACGTTTATTGTTCATCATCACCACCAAACAAACTTAGACAAAATTTTCCACATGAGGATTTGGTACAGAGCTTTAACGTTTCACAGGCAATGGTCACGAATGTTATTATAACGTGGTTGTACGAGTATGTTTTGCATGAAATTCTCTTTAAACAATTGATGAGCCCATGCCTAGCCGAAAAAAAATCAAACATGCCTTCCGAGTTGCTTTACATTTACAAACTGCAGAGTAATTATGGATTGTACTGAAATGACTACAATGGTGCCACGAAGCTCAATGTCCCAACAAAAATCCACTTACAGTAATTATAAACACAGAAACACCTGGAAAACCCTTATCGGAGTGGCACCAAATGGTGTTGTAACCTTTGTAAGCACGCTATACCCTGGTCCAACATCCGACAAAAAATTGTGAAGCACTGTGGTATTTTAAGCATGTTAGAAACAGGTGACCTTATATTGGCAGACAAAGGTTTTTTATTAAAAGATATTTTACCACCTGGTATTCATTCAAATGTGCCACCATTTTTTACTGAGTAGTCGATA